ATTTCATTAATATTAAACATAATTCATTGAAATAATTAAAAAATATTCCTGTAGTGTTTGTTTTATAGGCATTCAATAGATAATCGTGTTTAAATGTTTTTAATATATATATATATATATGGGGGTTGTACAAAAAACTTCGTTCATGCGCTGTCCGATTACCAACAAAACAATTGAGTATGGGTTATAATAGAAAATTGTGCTCTTTTCGACTGTTTTATTTTGTTCTCTTTTAATTAATAAATAATTATCAAACCGTTTTCCGTTCTATGTAAATCTCATTCCTAATTCAACTCTTGTCTCAAGAGTTGACTAGTATATAGTTTGTAAGGTGCGAAAACGTACACAATGGTTATTGTTTTTCATGGTTAATGTTTATCTAAGTTTGTAACAGAATAGACAAGAAAAAACTCACACACTTGGATAGGTCAATCAATTTCCAAACTGCATTATATACATCATGTTTCTCTGAATAGAAAATGTACTCATAAATATTTAGCTTGAAGTTTATTAATTAAATAGAATATTTTAAAAAATTAGAATGATAAATATTATACGTTGAGTTATTGTGTTTTATAAATTGGGAAAAAAAGGAACAATAATAGCACATGCCCCAGAAAAGCAAATCAAACACGTTTTAGTCAATATTGGTTTTTCCAATTTAGAAAAGAACAACATCATCTAAATCGGATAAAACAAAACTATCTTGATCGATATAGATCATTTTTCTCTTTCTAAGGTACAACAGTGATAAACTTGTGCTTTTTATCTAAACAATAATTGTAAAGATGATGTTTTTCAGTTTCATCGAGTTTCTGACACTCTCTCTTTAAATTATTACAAAAAATATATCAACTCAAAACATAAACAGCGAGACAATATTATATCGTTTGAGTCAATAATCTGCTATGGAGTTGTAGACAAATGTCGTCAATTTTGATTCCATTTTAATTTAATTTTGATTCCATTGTTCTGAATTAAACAATAAGCAGTGGCTTATTTTATTGTTGAGGATTTAAATAAAGATCGACCATCATACTTTTAAAGAAAACTAATGATTTATATTTATCTAATCCGTATTAGTTTGACTATTTTTCCCTCTATTTTCTGCTTTCTATTTTTTATTACCATCATCATCACAGTTTTATTAAAAAATAAAAAATATAGCCATATGTCATCATATTTCTGTTTAGTCCTCCTATTACGTTACATTGTTTAGAGCAGTCAATACCGGTGTAGACTATAAATTGGATGATGGTAAGTAAAAGTAGAGTGATGACATTTAATATCATTATAAAAATTAACTGTAATTTAATATGATACTGCATTTATTCAGAAATGCAAAAAAGTAATTGAAACACTACACTATAAACACTTTCTATCCGTTGATCGATCCATCGATAAAATAATTTGTCGTATTCATCAACTTTGAAACTAGATTTTATTGTTTGATGGTACTTTTTACCAAATGCGCAAGATCTTTTAATGTTCTTTTATAACGAATAGAAGAAAAAAAAAGATTATAAGTTATAATTAAGATATACAGGGTGTCCCAAAACTCCGAGAGAAAATAAAACGTGAATAACTCCGCTATTTTTTCTTAATCAAACTTCAAGCTTGTTTTTTTTTGTTTGATAGAAAAACGTTTCAAGTTTTATTTTATACGATTGGAAACTCGTGTTAATATTTAAAAAAGTATTTGGGTTTATTATAGTGAAATTCAGATATTTTGAGATTCATTTTTAATAAATTATGTACTGAAAAACTTTTTGAAAAAGAACATAAATAATTTTTAATATTAAAATAAAGCAGATAATGACGACTTTCACATAATAAAATAATAATTTGCTTTTGTTTTAAAATGACCGGTTAGCATCGATTTCTTCCGGCATTGTTATGTCATACTAGCAGCTAGAAAAATTCAAAAAAGTAATAAAAATATTTTTTCGATAAAGTTAACTAATAAAAGGAAAAACTACTAGTGACATTCCACACAAATAAGTTAGCCCTATAAACTAGAATAGTTTGAAAGTCTGTAAAAAGTTGTATCAGGCTATTGTAGAAGCCTCAATCCGTAGATCATGCTAATATGAAGAAATTAACTTTTATTGGCAAAACTTTAAGCTGAACAAAACATTTGTATATGTGGGATTGTAGAGTAACCTGAGTTCTAAAAAATGAGACGTAATGCGACTCAGACAAAGATTCCATTTAATTTTGACAAGCTCAACAATCTTGACACACTATTACAAGTACTTACACAGAAAACATATGTTGTAAATTTTATTATTTTTCTGTACTGATTTTTGTTTTACATAAAAATTTTCAATCGTAAGAAATAAAACTTGGAACGTTTCTCTATCAAACAAAAAAATACGCATGAAGTTTGGTTAAGGAATAGCGGAGTTATCAACGTTTTATTTTCTCTCGTACTTTTGGGACACCCTGTAAATTAGTGTTGTCAAATATTTAAAAAAGAAGATTGTCAACTCAAGATCTTTTTTAACTATTTTATTATGCTTTCTATTTTTATTTCTTACCTAAGAATTGTGTCGAGAAAAATTCACGCCATTTACTACACAGTAGATCAAAAATGAAGTTAGTTATTCAATGTTTTATTTCGATTTTTTTCTTCTTTTGTTGAAATAAAAAATTGACATTTGATTGAATAATTGAGTATAGAAATGCCCCAGAATAAAAGAACAAGTGAAAAAAGGATAACTCATTTGTTAGAATAATTAAAAACGCACAAAGAAAAACATTACTCAAGCATATGGTCAAATTTAAATGTATATCATTTAAGAATTTTATAATTATTTATCGAAGTGTAGTGAACTTGAATATTTTATATATAAGGCGTTAGTAAGTACTGTTTATTGTTTTAGAAAAGCCAATGAAAATTGTTTGATTGTAAACTGTTATTAATCATAGAATAAAAATGTATTCTTCTTTATCATCAAAACATCATGATCTTAGATGTATGACTTATAGATTTTACTTGCTAGATAAGATATTTTTGTTATTAATAAATATTAGAATTCAACTTTTAGATATTTCTCATTATTATGAATGAGACATCATTTGAATTCAGTTCATATTATAAGGTCATAGTCTTCTTCTTTATTTTCTATTATTTTTGTATGAAAATTTATATTTGCTAACTGTAAATACCTTTTTAGACGAGTTTTTTTTAATGCCATTTATCATTTTTGACAAGTAATTTTGTTATGATAAAAAACTAAAAAAATAAAACAAAAAAAAAACGAGGAAATATAAAACTCGGAAAAACATTTCTTTTTATCTTTTTATTTATCTCCATACTAGTTCCTTGTCAAGTCTTTCTCTATCCGCCCCATTATCATCATTATTTTTCATTCTCTCAATTTCTATATTTTACTTTTTGTTTGAACATCTTTACATATTAATGATTACGCTTATGTTAAATGCGACATGGATAATACATCATTATATTAAAACATGAAGATAAGTTTCGCTGATTTCTATTATGTGTATGTACGTGTACGTCTGTTTAATATCAAATATACCATAGAAAATATCTCATAAAGACTAGAAAACATAATATAACTCAAACAAAAAATAATATAAAAATTTTACATGCTAAACATTAATATTATCACCGTTAAAAAGTTTTATGCTTTATAAAATATTATAAAAAAAAAGGTATTTATCATAAAATCCAAGATATTTAATGCCAAAATTTCTATGATATTTGTCTTACAAAAACACAAAATATTCAATTTTTTTTTGTTTTTTTTACAGTAAAACGGATTTAAAAGAAAAAAGAAACTTTTTTTTAGTTGTCATTTTAATATGACACGTTGCACATTAAATTTGGCGGCGAGTATGAGTTTTAAGCAGATGAATTATATCATTATTAATGAGAGAATAAAAACGACTTTAAATTGAATTGTAAAGGATTTTTTAATTTTTCTTTTCACTATTTCCATCCTCTCATATAGCACACGATATAAAAGCAAAATAGTAATTATTCAATCTTTTATAAAGCTCTACTTATATCATTATTTTGTTTAGTTATTTGAAGCGTTTGACTAATTTGATAAAAAAATGGCTTCAGTTAGTACAAGTGTATTGACAACAACACAATTGAGAAAATTTAGTGCAAGAACACAAGCACACATGAAAAAACGTGTCGGTGGAAATAAAAATTTATACAAAGAATTGTATTCTAAAAGTGGTAAAAATTTAAATGGAGTAAGTTGTTGAATTTCTTTCAAAATAAACAAAATGTTTAATTAATATATATTTATTTATTTTTTTCTATCAAGGAAATCACAATTAATGAACAATTTGTTCAAGCATGTGAAAATGGTGATTATAATACGGTAAATCGAATATTAGAAGAAAGAAAAAATTTTAATATCGATGTTACAGATCAACTTGGACGAACAGCAATGAGGTATAGTATTGAATGATAATCAATTCTTTTTCTCTCTAATTTGTCATATTTAAAAACGGTTCTCATTTAAATGCTAAGTGGAAGTTTTTTTTTCTAAGTAGTTTATTTAAATTTTTGAATAAAAAAATTTTTATTTTCTAAACAAAATATTACATATATTTTGATAAACAAATAAATTTTGTTAAGTAAAAACCAACAGTAGAAGGGCATATCAACATGAAAAAAACAAAGCTTATATAAAATAGAGAAGATTTTTCTTTTACTATGACACTGTCTGCCACACACATGTATCATTTTGACTGATGATGTTCTGAGTGAAGAACGAAACGTCTCAATAAAGTTGTTTACTTTAAAAATGAGAAAAAAAGGTGGAATTAATCTTTTTATTCCTAATTAAATTATTCACCTTAAAAACGCATTTTTCAATTTATTAACTTAATGATTAAATATTTTACTTATAAACCCCCCTCCTCGAAATAGAACACCAAATATCTTCTATTTGGCTTTCGTGTCATATGATTGACAGTGGTCTTCTAATGAGAAATGGTCTTTTTTTAATTAATTCAATTTAAATTTAAATTATTGAGAAAAATTAAATTAATTGAGTATCCAATAATTTTATTAAATGCTTAAATTATTTACTGAGGAGATATAAATTTTACTTGGCACAAATTAACTTAGCATTTAGATAGTTTTATTGACGAGGGAACCGCCCGAAGTGATACACTCTGACTTTGTTCAAACCTGGCTATTTGTATGTAGTCAAGGGTGCTGATTACAAATATAATAGCCGTTTGCACTCATAGGCCTTTCCTCGTGTCGCTCTGGAAAACAGGTTTTCTAG